ATCAAATTTGAACTGGATATATAAGTTTAGTCCACAAACAAAATAGATTTGCGTCGTAAAATCTATAGAGATCTAGTTAATATATATAATCTTCTAATAACTCTATTTTCGGCCTTAAAAAGTAAATCATTAATCATTTATCGCCGCTATAAAACTGAAACATAAATCCAGTTCTATTTTACGAGTCTTCATTAAAATTAATGATCAATTAAGGTGTCAATAAATATAAATTAAAAACGTTAAATGATCAATTTCAAAGCAATAAATAAAATTTGAATGGTAGGAAGTAAGGGGTTTTAAATACAATAAACAATTTCATTCGTTTATAATAAACATATCTGAAATATACAAAAAATCAGACCAAAATGAAGATGTAAATATTTACCGATTGTCACGAATTGTTTAGATTAAGATGAGAATTTTGTTTGTTGTTCTTTTGCTATGTTTACCCCTTTGGCTTTAAAGTTGCCGACTTCGGAGACTCTTCTTGTTAGGCTAAAGATATTAGATATTAGATACGGATACCAGGTACCAGATATTAGATACTAGATACCAGATACGGATACCAGATATACGATTAATGTGGGAGGTGGCAACAGGTGATCTCCCTCTCTCTTTATATCTCTGACATTCTTGGGCCATGTTGTTGGCGCTATTTGCTCGATGGCAACAAGTTGTCAACAGCTTTTGAATAACAGGTTCTATATGTCGGTTCTGTTTGAACAGAACTTAATTTGGGCCAAATGCCATGCCTTTGGGGATCTTATATTTCTTTTTATTATTTCGCCCATTGTTTGTGCCACACAAACAGACCGAAAAAAAAGAAAAAATAAACCTAAACCAACAGATAATGGTTTCAGACTGAAAGAGATCCGTGCCCCGATCGGTATTACTCAATATATATTGACGTCTCTTTAACTAACCAATTAGCACTTGGCCAAAACGATTTTTGTCGCCAACAAAATACAATTGTTATCAAATATTTACACTGGGAATAATAAAACAGAAAGGGGAATGTAGTAAATTAAATGTATTTTTAACAAAATAAGTAATAGGGATTAAATAAAATTCATTTCGTTTCAACAATTTGTTTAGTATTTTATATATGCTAATAAATATAATCAATTTATCTTATTTTGCTGTTAATTTAAACACAATCTTGACATAAAATGAGAACATATATCTTTTAACCCCCATTTTTGTATATTAAACCAATGTTCAACTACAAAAATATTTGTAAATTTTCTTTTCATTTTATTATCATATAATTTCTCTCACTGTATAACCCAGAAGTTGTCTGGCACATGTGTGAGATGGATCACACATGCGGACATTGAATTTATTGTGATCATTAACAATGAAAAACACACGGGAATTTGGCTGAGACGAAAAAGAAAAAAATAATAATAAAATAAAGAAGCTAATACCTTAACGCTTACTTTATCATTTCGGCTCAATTTGTCAACGGCTGGAGGAAAGAAGAAATAAAACAAATATAAACGAAACAACATACAGTTGACGTCGCTACATGACTGGCATTTTGCAGTGAAATAACTCGCTCGATTTGTGGTCTGTTTTTTATTATTATTTTATATTCAAATGCGCAGGCGCAGAGTCGCGTGCCGCTCTCGGATCGGAGTTGTATAATACCTATATATATCGAATACAATTCCGAACCTCCAGAGCTTTAAAATGCACAACATGGACTCTGAGAGACACATAAAGTACCTTGGCACGAAAATTGCCAAGTCTGACATCGAGACGCCTCATTGCCAGCAGAAAATTGTAAAGTCAACTAATGAAATCAAATAAAATTAAGTAAAATTAACTAAAACAAGATACAAAATATAATGAAGAGTATACAAAAATATACCCTTGTAATATTGTATCTAAAGGAACTCGATCATAACTAAGGTTAAAATATTCCCATTCTTTGAATCGATATGTTTAGATGACAATTTTTTCGAATATTCAAATTCTAATAATATCATAACTACGCCAAAAATGCATTAATTTTAAAACGAAAAGCTTTCCTATGTTAGTTTTTAAAAGGTTAATAAATCTGCATATTCAATTTAAAATGTAAAAACATGAAAATTTTTTCGATTTTTTTTTATAATTTTAATGATGTAAAAAAATGAAAAAAAATTAACAAATTGTATTTTCTGCCTGAGGTGCCTAGATCGATTTGCCTGTTGATGCTGATCAGGAATATATATGATTTATAGGGTCGGAAATGACTCCTTCGCTTTCTTTTACGCTTCTGGCTGGAAGGTGCAACACCATTTTTAATAGATATTTATTTATATTTTTATATAACGATTTTTTCGAAAAATTAAAGTCTAAAATACTCATAACTAAGCCGAAAAAGCATTAATTTTAATTCGGAAAGCTGTCCTATGCTAGTTTTTAGGAGGTTAATAATTCTGCATACTCAGTTTAAAATTTTTAAAAATTAGAATTTTTTGTCAAATTTTTGAGAATTTTAACGATGTAACCCCTTATAAAAATTTGAAAAAATTTAAATTTTTTTTTTTTTTATTGAGATGGCTAGATCGATTGGACTCTTCATGCTGATCAAGAATATATATGATTTATAGGGTCAGAAATGACTCCTTCACTTAGTTTTAGACTTCTGACTAAGGGTAGAATACCTTGTAAAAATATAAAAATTCTCTTAGCTTGTTTAAAGCTTCTTTAATAAATTGTTATTTGATATTTGAACATGATGTGTAAGCATGTCACTGAATTATTTATACATTAATTCCATTAAACTATATCATCAAGTTATTTATTATAAATTCCAAAAAACATTTAATTAAATCAAACAATTTATTTATAAACCGATTCAAGTTAATTTTGCGTAAACATGCTTACCCTTAAATTACAGTTTCTGTTCTGATAATCGGAATCCTTTTACTTGGCAACGCCTTTGAATTAACCTAATATCCCCACAATTTGCACTGCCCAGTTATATATATATATTTCTATATGCAATAAGCTCTGAACCAGAACCAGAATCAAATGATGATAGTAATTATGGAAAACGAAAACGAGTTCGCATGCCATTCGAATCGACTCGACTGGATTGTGGTGGCTCCTCTTCTTTGGCCACAACAGGATACCTTCGTACAATGGCATGTCCTTCCTTTTCAAAAGTTTATTTTTCCTCCCTGTCTGTATGTGTGTTTGTGTGTGTGTGTGGGTACAGAGTGTGCCACTGTGTGTGTGTGTGTGTGTTGCGGTTTGTTGTTGCAGTCCGGAAATGGCAAGTGAAAACATCCAGCTCAATTTGCTAGCCTCGGGGATGCGATTGAGGTCTGGAGCTGGTACCCAAAGACAAGGATCCTAATATCCCTATCCTCTGTTCTACACTGTAAAAAAAGAAGAGATTTTTAATATAAAATATATATTGAGCTCAAAATCATTTCGTAAACTTTGATTTCCAGAAATTATAAATATCGAAATTGACTTTAAAATACTGATATTATTTAAACAAATGTTCAAATGTTATTTAATGCATTTATATTATTTTCCGAATATAATTAACGGATATACCAACAGATTATCGATTTTTATAAGTTTTAAATATGGAAAATTATAGCATTTTACTTTAAAATATGTGTTTATCGATAGTATTATAAAAATATGGGCTAAATGTTAAGGTTCTCCTTTGAACCATCTAACTTTTATGATAAAATATATTAAAAATATAACAATCCAAAAAAAATTTTAGATTTATTGTGCATAAAACTCAAGCATAATTTATTGACTTAATTTGTAGCTCTTTTTATTTTCATAATTAACCATTATAATTGTAATTTATGTATGTTTTATGCCATATTTAATTACTTTACTATGTTTTTCAGTATTTACAATTTAAGTTAATCATAATAGTAGCAAAAAATATATGTATACATTTTTATAAATTTTATAATTTTTATAATTTAAAATTTTAAGGTATTTTTTTAGAGTGCATTATAGTTACCAACTTGACGACTATTTTCCTATTTACCTTGGTTTGTTGGAAGTGAGACAAACATTATGATCTGGCCTGGCATTTTGGGGGGCGTTGTAATTCCAACTCTTAAACTCCCTCAATTTCTGTGGAAAATGCAGACTCACAAAAGGGAATAAATTTTGCCATTTACAATAACCCCATTTTGTGTGTGCTCCTAAATGCTCAGGTTAGTTTCAGTTATTTCGAGTTAATTGAACTGAAATATTTAGCTTAGATCTATGTACTAGAAATTTTACTCACTAGGAGCTTACGGTATTTTAAAGTGAGGGAATTTTTATTTCTTATTTGGGGGTTTTGTTTTTATCGATCCTGACTGGCTCTGGCGTCCCTCATTTTATGCCTCATATATAAAACCGACAGTATCTCTATGGGCTGCGCCCATATAAATTTATGTACAATAGATATAGATACCTGAAACGCTGGAGTGAGGCCACAACAATTAACAATTGAAATTGAAATTGATAAGAAATTTTTTTTTAATTACGCCAGGCAAGTGCCATGATATATTTGCCTGCAATGAGTTTTTTTCACTACTACTCTACTCTGTTTTCTCTCTATATATATATATATATTTCTCTCTATTTTGTTCTCTATTTTTTCCCTATTTTTTGCTTTATTTTTAATGCTATTTAGGCTTATTGTTCATGCTACCTACTTTTGTGTTGTATTATCTACACAACCATAATAGGGGCCTTTTCCATTTACATTTCCCCATTTTACCCCGATCACCTGTACCTGTGTAGCGTGCACCAGACGCCCCCATAAACATATATTTGTATATATATATATATATATATATATATCTGTATATGTACATATCGAAGTGTGATAATCAGGCTGTTAACATATTGTTTACATTTTCGATTGGCTGTAACAATTAATCAAACAGAATCGATACCAATTTGCACACACTTGTTGCCGCCAGTTGTAATCTCTTTTTTGTATTTATTATTTTCTTTCTTTTTTTTTTGTGTTTCAGCTCTATCACCTTGAGGGGGACGCTTATCAATTATATTCTTTTTTTGCCAGCGAACAGAAAAAGATGTTATCTTGGCAAACAACAACTTGAAGGGTGAGTCAGAGTCAACTATTTGTTTACAATTTACAAGAGCGATTTAAAGGGCTTTTGAGGAATATATTACACGAATTGAATAGTGTGGAAAATGTGATATAATAATAATATACTAAGGATAAAATTTGTACTATATAATATAATATAATATAATATATACTATATAATATAATACAATATATACTATATAATATAATACATTTTAGTTTCCTGAGTAACGCAACTTTTTCAATATTAAACTATACAAACTTGCTTTAATAACATTTTATTTTCGTTCTAAAAAAGCCAGTAAAAAGAAGTTAGCATTAAAAATATTTAAAACATCTATATCGAAAGTTGATCAAAGTATCGAAAATTTCTTCTCTTTCTAATTACCTTATAGGATACAAGTTTTAACCTTTCTTTGAGGTATCTCTCCCCTTAAATTTCTCAGCTTTATACTTATTTCAAGCAAAATATTTACAAATATTAGAGAAATTTGTTTAGTAGTCTCTAATAATTTTATGTTTGATTTGATTACCTTATATTTCACCTGCTTCTTCCACCTTTGATTAATTTTAAATTACACTCAATACCCAAATCGAAGTTTATAGTTGAAAGAAATGTCTTCTTTAAAGCCAAGTTCTTGGCGTCAAAGTTGTCTTTGGGTTGATGGTTCACCGCCAGCATTTCGACCAGCAGTTAAATTGAGTTTTGCGGTTAAACACCTCTCACTCTCACACTCACTTTCTCTCTTATTCACTTTCTATCCATCTCTTTCGACCGCGTGTCTGCTCTTTCTCCCTCTCCAAAACTGATTCTGTGTAATTGCTCGACGACAGAGTCGGTAAGTAATTAATTAAGTTCAGCTAATGCATACGTTAAGTAAGTAAAACCAGCGTTTGACATATTTGCTGCGACAAAATAACAGGCGTGGGTGTTAATGCACCTTAATAATACCCATTTATCAAGGGCGGTTTTAAATACACTACGCATACGAATCTGATTAAGTCCTCAGTTCCACTTTTGACAATGAGAGAAGACAATCTTGATTTAGATAATGCTGAAATGTGTCTAAAATATATATTTAAATTGAAAATAATATCGAGTAAACAAAAGAAATTAAAACTGTTGGGCTAGTAGAGCAATTTCAAGTTTAATAAGAATTATTCTCAAACAGGAAGGGTAGCTAATATGATATAGAAGTCCGATTTTCAAAGATATTTACTGATCATAGTTACTTAATGGTCATAGATACTTACAGATCATAGTTAATTAATGTTCCGAGTTACTTAATGATCATAGTTCTATAAATCGTCCGATTGTTCCTATGGCAGCTACATATATATATATATATATATATATATATATATATATATATATATAGTCCACCGATTCGCCATGCTCCGATTTATATAGTAGCAAATTTATATAGAACAATTACTCCATAGTTTCATTCAAATAGCTTAAATTTGTTCCAAAGCAAATTTCGTACATCTGAGCATATAATTCTCAACTGGTTCTAACCTCTCCGGAACGAAGTGACTGCTGCCGGCCAAGTCTCAGATATGTGTTGTGTTACAAAAGTTGCAAGTCATTGTTTACTTGTGTTCAAAGTTAGTAACTGATCAAACATACATATTTACTAGTCATAGATACTTACGAATCATAGATACTTACGAATCATAGATACTTACTGATTATAGTTCTTTCTGATTATAGTTACTTAATGATTATTGATACTTACTGTTCAGAATTACTTACTGATCATAGTTATTTACTGTCCATAGTTAGTTTATTTCTACACGTTTTCTTTATATATTGTATATGTAAACATATTGCTTACATATAATGTTTTATGGTAGATAATTGTAAAAATGGAGTAATGAATTGCTTTCTAAAATTCTTTTAAGGAAACTCTAATTTTTGGCTTTTAAAAATCATAGGTAAAGCTTGAAGTTATTTTATAGTCATTTATTCTTTTCGAATTATTTAAAAAAGAAAACTCCTTACAGTTAAACTTTTCGTCACGTTTTGCTAAAGGTAAAAGAGGGTAAAACTTTAAGCGAAACTGGCATTGTTTTGTTTTGGTTTTTTTCTCTCCCTTTTTTTTTTTAAATTTTTTATTTTGTTTTTGTTGTTGTTGCTGTTGGTGTTTTTTACCCCGGTATTTAATCATTTGTCATAGCATTGCACCGAAGTTTTGCCCCATTGTGTTGTCGTTGTCTTTTGTACAATGTTGCTGTTGTTCTCTCGGCGCCCTGTGTCTGTTGCATTGTTGTTTGGGGTTTGCGTGTTCATTGACGTCACAGCCAACTGTTGTTGGTCCAGAGAGGGAGGGAGGTTGAAGGGGGTGCAGCATGGGGGTGTTGCATGTTGCACGCACACCAACAAAGCACAAACAGTGGCCCCCACTTTGTGTCCAAGCACTCAAGTAAGCAGGTCAGCGGTTCCTGCGGTTTAACTCACTTCGAATGCACCACCAACACCCAATCCAACTCACTTGGCCCACCTGGAAAAGCACCACCCAGCTGAGGACCACCCGCACTCCAACTCGGTCAGCTTGCGGTTTTACTTCAAGTTTTCCCCAAACCCAAAAGGCAACCCGAAAAGTACAGAGCCCCCCCCCCTATCCCCATTTTCAAAGTCGCAACGCGATTTTCAGTTTTAGCTTTACAATATTTCATTTGGAGATGGCAAAAGATATCGATTATTATTATCGAAATGTTAGGGATATCATAAAATTAAGGATAATTTGGAATGAAATTGAATCAATGGAATTATATTCTATATTCAATTCTTGTTTACATTATATATATTTTTATTTATCTTAGACATAACAATATTAATCGATTAATGCTCCATTTTGCACAGGACTTGCAGCATTTAATCGATAAGCAAATATATCGTTGTGTTAAGTTTATGATATAGTAATTTATTCAATTGTGAATATATTCAAAAACTTGGAAAACTAAACTTTCTACTTAGCTGTATAGGTTTTGTATATCTGTATATAGTTTTGATAAATTATAAGTAAAGATCGAATATCATTAGTATCGAAATGTTCGATAAACTTTCCATATTTTTGCTATAATTTCGAAGGCTTTTAAACTTTTTTTTAACCGATATACAAGGACGTCGTTTCCCATATCTCCTTGTAAGATATATAAAGCACTTTAGCTTTACAGTTAGCTGAAAATTGAAATTGATTTTTATGAGAGTCTCAGTCCCTGTTCAGGTGTTGAATCCACCCACCCACACTCACATATACCTACCTCTCTCCCTCCCCCCGAAAAGCGGGAAATCAATTTCAATTAACCGAATACATATGCCAGCGAGAGAGCTGAATGAGCGGGAAAGCGAAATAATAAATAAACAAATATATAAATAAAGAAATAAATATGCATGAAACAGAAGCTGCAGATGAAACCGAAAAGAGCTCGGGATGAATGAAAATCTGAGTCTGAATCGGTATCGGAATCAGAATCAGAATCAGAATCAGCAACAGGATTCTTGGTTGCTATTCATAAATTGTTCAGCAATAATGAAAATGTAATAAATAATGGTTTACATTTCTTGTATAAGCTTTTGTAATTATATTATTGTGATTGTTGTAATATATTATGAATATTATTGAAGGAATGAATCAATGTAAAGGGATGAGTTTAAATTAGTTGTTCTTTGTTTTTTACTTAAAATATTTAAAAAATGTTTGTTTTATGTATTTTAAATTTAGTTAAAAAATAATTCCTTTATATTTGGTATTATTTATTCCTTGAAGATACTTACTTACTTACTTACTTACTTACTTACTTACTTACTTACATACATACTTACTTACTTACTTACATACATACTTACTTACTTACTTACATACTTACTTACTTACTTACTTACTTACTTACTTACTTACTTACTTACTTTTTTTATTAAACTATATAATATATACATATTACATATATCAATTTTTATTCTAAAAACTAAACAACATTTTGTATATTTACAAACCCAAAACAATAGCTTATTCATATTTTTATTCATAATTTTATTCAAAACTAAACAACATTGTAAACGGCTTCTTAATTTCCTTTTCCTGTTTTCCAGAGTGAAAGTAAAGCCCCTGCTAGCAATTGAGACTTTTCCTTTATTCTTTCGCTTATTGATATTAAAAGGGGTGTATACCATATCCCCCTCCCGTTTCTTACAGTGTCTTTTTGTGTGTGTGTGGCTTGTTGACTTGCTTCGCTAATAATTGCCAAGACCGCACGCTCGCAAAGGAAAGGCAAACAAATTTATAAAACTGGCTACCCCGCTGCCAAGTCACTCTCACTTTGTCCGTCTCTCTGTCCGTCTCCCTGTCCGTCGTATCTGTCCGCCGTAGTCAGCAAGTCTGGCAGTTAGCGCCTCAGTCGACGGCTCTCTGAAAAGTCACGTTTTGCATTTTGATTTTGCAACCAGGGTCTCGGACTACGGTGGCTTTTTTTTGCTTCACCTACTTCTACTCCCTGTATTTTCTTTGATTTTTCCCGATTTTCCGCCATTGATTCTTTGCTTGCAAAATGACAGATGATATTCAAAAGGGTCTTGTAAATATCTACGGTTTTTTAGGAAGTGAATATATTTAAAGAGTGTATAAATGAATATAAAAATATAAATATATAGGTATATAAAGCAAGCTTATATGAAGCTCTTAATTAAGTATGATATTTATACAATATATATTTTATATTTATTATATTTATACCACATATTCTTTTTTATGCTCTTTATGTTTTGTTTATATACTCCATTTGTAATATGATTTATTAATTTTTGTTATTTATAAAGACATTTATTCTCTAAAATGATTACAAGTTATTAAAAATTAAAATTAATTTAATAATGAATACAATCTTTAAATACCGGGTATTTCCTAGTCGATACATTGAATCTAAGTGTCTTTTCCTGTTGTATGTTTACACAGACATCTCGTGCCTTATTTTCTTTTCATATTTTTTTTTGTGTGTTCGTTTGGCGTTGAT